GAAAGATTATGGCAATATGTCATTAAGAGGAAAAGTGAGTTACAAGAGTGTTTAGTAAGATCCCACTGTGTGTATGTGTGTGCATATGCACGCACGTGGGTGCACATGAACCCAGGAAGAAAGATAACTAATTTCTTTGGCGGGATTATGGGTGCTTTAAATTTTTCTTCCTTTTGCTTGTCTTTCCTAACTTCTCTCCCATGAACACATATTGCTTTTGTAATAAGAAATGTTTTTTGTTTTTAATTTTTAGAAATCAGATGTTTAAATCAGATACCTTGGTGAACTCAGAGTTGCTTGAGGCGCCAGTCCTTATTTACCCTGTGAACTTGCAGCACTTCACCTGGGAGTATTCAGCTCCAAATGTGTGCCAAGTGGAAGAGTGGGTGGGAGAATATGAGAGCGAACGGCTGTCACACATACCTGTCTGCGTGAGCTCTCCCATCTCACATAGCGGGTGATTGGGGTAAAGAGGCAGGAAATGTAAGGGGCTTTCGAAAGAGGCTCCGGATCCTTTTGACATGTGACTAACGAAAGCTTCCAATTTAGGGTGATATGGTTTCCTAAAGAGACAACACAGAGATTTAACGGTCAGCGTGCTCTAAAACAGGCCACAACGGTTTCAGCTTCAGCAAGCAAAATCCCAAGCATGTCATGCTCTTTCTCCCTGACAGTAATAGGTACTGGCTCAATCACTTTTAAATTCCAGTTTCGTTATCACTCAACCACTGATGCCTACACGAAAAATCCCCACTCCATGAGGCCAGTCTGAGCCCCTTTCCTCTGCTGAAGCGCCCATCACTCTCGGCACTGTGGGAGTTGGCTTTGCCTTCCACCACCCTGTTCCCCAGCCTGCACCCCTTCTTTCTCTCCAGGGGGCCGCTGACCCCCACCAGGCAGTCACGCCCAGGCTGGGAGTCCTCGATTTCTCCCTCCCCTGCCCCTTTAGATGCCATCTGCCTTCCAATCCTGCAGATGTGTTCTCTTGGGCCCTCTCGCTCCTCTCTCCTCCCTCCCTGCAGCCACTAGCTGGGCTCCGGCTCAGGCAGCTTCTGTCCGGATGGCGTGGGCTCCCCTTTGCCTACCTGCAGCCTACTCTTGCCCCTCTAATATTGCCTTCTCCACAGCCAGAAGGCAACCCTGACTCCTCACCGCTCCTCTACATTGCTCCCTTCTGTCTGGAAGGAGCCACACAGGCCTGTCGGTCTGTTCTGGCCCCACCTCATTCTGAGGCTCGGCGTCCCCCAGCCTTCTCCACTCACATGCAGCCAACCAACTAACTTCTCTTCCCCCAACATATCTTGTTCTTTCATGCTTCCAAGACTCCACATATCGCCCCTTCCTCCTAGAAGACCTACCCCAACCTTTGCCTGGGTAACCCTTAATCCTTAACTTATCTAACCCCTGAAAAATCTCCTTTGAAAAAAATTTAGTGTTTAAGATAACCGAGATCTCCACAGCTCTCTATAGTTCACTGTGCATTTTGCACATGCAATATGTCATTTCATGTGGGGTGGTAACAAATAGCTAAAAAAGCGTCTGTTTATGAGAGCTGCTATTTTTTTCTATTTCTGCCACGAAGTACATGTGGTAAATCAAGATTTATCTTTCCAGTCCCTAGTAAACAATTTCCCCGAATAATGAAATGACCTATGAATATATACATATTTTCTCCGAAGAATGAAATGACCTGTGAACATATCTATTTTCTCTGAGTGAGATGACTTATGAATATATACATCTTTTGTTCAAATAATGAAATGGTCTATGAATGTATACACATTTTCCAGATCAACAGAAGTGGACAAATAGAATAGTTCCCAACTAAACTAAATCAGCACGAAAAGAAGCGAAGATGAATTGTTCTAATGGCAGACCCCTGCTGTCTGAAAGCCCAATTAACATTGGCAATGCTTTTAAAATGGTTGCCAAGATGGGTTTAATATCTTTCACAAACATAAAGCTATAAAAAAATCCATCTTTAAAAAAATATGTTTTGAAATTAGACATAGGGTATAGTCTGATAAATCACCCTGGACTGCTGCGGGACTCCTGTCTTCGCATAAAAACACAGGGTATGTTATTTTTCCTGAGGCTAGAACACATAAATATTTGTAAACTGGGAAATAAAATTTCCAGACTGATAATGAGGCTGCCAATATAAATCCACATAGGCAAAGGCTATCCATCAACAGGAATCAAATGTTCTGCCCTAGGCCACTATTTCGGGTCTGTGATTTGTGAGGATCTTGGAAAGCTTTGCTGCCAACTTTAGAAATGAAATTTCCTACTGAAAGTGTTGGCTGAGATACCCTAGGTTTTCAGGACATCTGACTACTTAATGATGCATTCATTTCCAACTGTATTCATGAAGATTTATTTTTGGAGGGGCAAGATGAAGATTCACACACACACACACAAAAACTTCACTTACAGAAGGGAAACCAAATGGCTGGATCTTTATAACAGGCAGAGGACCAGGTGACTCGAGTCCCTGGGCCTGTCCTGGATCTGAATAACCAGGTCCTGCCCGCCTGGTCCTCAGCTCCATCCCCAGAGCCGAGAGAGTATCTCTAGCACATGACAGATATGCCAAAAAGACACATGAATGAATTCACTTGGGATGTCCCCCTCCTTGGATGCTTCACAAAAAGTCCAAGCCTGCCATAATCTGTAGCAATGAATATAGCAAGTTCCCATAGTGTTTATGAAAATGTCCAGATTCTGATGGAAATATTAAAAATAAAGGCTGTTGTGGGTGAGACTACTAACTGTGACGGAGATCCTCTTTGACCAAACTTTAGTGAGTTGAGGCCCTTCTGAACCCTCTTCCCAACTAGGCCTCAAACACTGACTTTAGTCTGTCTTTGTAACGCCCAGTTTTAGCAAAAATCCTGCTCGGTCAGTTTAGCCAGAATCTTGAACTCTTGATATCTGATCAAATTCCTCATTCCCAGGTGGTATCTGATCACCCTGGCCCACCTTTAGCAAGAATCCTGTTAAGTCAGTTTAGCCAGAATCCCCCCCACCCCCCCACCCCATGCCCCTGAGGTCTCTAAGTAATTTTCCACCCACTAACCCCACCCTGCTCCTTGCCTATAAATCCTCACTTGCTGTATTTGGAATTGAGCCCAGTTCTATACTAAGGTCTCTCTTCTCCTACTGCATTAGTTCTTGAATAAAATCTGATTTTATTGCTTGAACTATAATTGGAGCAGTTCCTGAGTTCTGCACAGAACATTAAGATAAACAGAGAAGAAGTATAAGACCAGGGACACTGTTATCAGCACAATTCAAAGCTTATGTGGCTAGAAACTTGAACTGAGTTCATACTACAGATTTTCAGAGTTTATGCTAATAAAAGAATTTATTATTTTACGTTACTAATCAAATGAAATCCTAAAAAGATAAACTCAGTACACGTTTCTCAGTCTTTAGCTTTCTGGATGCTTTTGCTTTACTTGATGGGACTGACTGCCCCTTTCTCTGGGTGGCCTTCTCTGACCCACCATCCCACCTCCCCTCCCAGCCCCACGCTGAGTTAGGCTGCCCTCTTCTGGCTCGTGCCAGCAAATATGGTACCAAAACGACTTCCGCCTCTACTTACTCTTTTTCCACTTCTTTCTCTAATACTGTTGCTGCTGCTACCACCTGTGCTGGCTACCATTCACCGGGGGCTTACCGGGCCCCAGGCACCAGGTCTGTCTCTCCGGAGGTGAGTAGGCCCCGTGAGGGCAGGAACAGGCTTTCTTCTGTGAGTCCTCAGAAGCCCACTCTCCCCTTTGCTCCTCCAGTCCAGCCATGTACCCGTCTAATGACTCATACATGCCTAGCTCTTCCAGCCCCAGGCCCTTTGCACCTGCTGTTCCGGCCATCCGGAAGACTCTTCCCCCAGATTTTCATAGGGCCAGCTTCTTCACTTCATTTAGGTGCCTGTTCATGTGCTACTGTCTTGTACAAAAGCCTAGCACATGACAGGCATTTAAAAATAAAATTTATTGAATAAATTCTGACTGAAGTCAATATCCATTCTTCTTTGTATGTAGGAGAATATCTAGTTCACATTCATGAATGCAAAAAAAAAAAAAAGGCATTTACTAAACACAGTATATCAATGGCTAATAACCTCATGCTGGCTAAACTTAGTCCCACGAGGGTTAAAAGAGCACTTTTGTCATGAGGTACATGGCATTCACGAAGAGGCAGTTTCCACTACAAAGACTTAGCCACGGAATATGTCATTGTGAAGAGAAACACTGGGGTGACCGATGTGTACGGACATCTGGTTCCTCTCATTCAGCTCACTGCACCCCTGCCTGCTGGCCCAGACATTCCCTTTCACTAGAGTAACAGGCTCACTCCAGGACTCACTGTCTTTTAGGAGGCTAAAAAAAAATTAATAATTTGTGACGCTGAACTAGCACCTAGGAAGGCAGCGGGCACTGCTGATGACCCAGATCCCACGGTCCCCGGCAACTCAGAGGCCCAAAGTGGATCCACATTGCTGGGAGTCCTGCCCACTCTTACTAATGATAGGTCAACCTTTATTGTTTTTAAAGATTGAATTAATTAAATGATATTAATTAATTAAACATGCATATTCCACCCACTTTCTACAAAGGATTTAAAGTAGCTCCTAAAAATACAGAATGTTCAATAAAAACTAGGCCAAAAGATCGAGGCCAAAGAAAATGAGGGCAGAGGCAGCCAGGATGGCTGGTCCTTAGGAACTGTCTCTTAAACTGGAACTCCAGAAATGGCCCCGTCAGTGGATCCTGCTACCACTGTGACAGAGTGAGGGGCCCTGGGACCCATCCTGGCTTCATGACCAAACCACTCAGGGTGGAGGAGAGGCCGGGCCCCAGAAGAATTCCAGGCTGCTGCGGTAAATGAAACAACACCCTGTATCAAGCTCTCAGTATGGACCAGGCTCAGTGCTTAGTCAGTCTTCACAAGGACATTAGAACAGAGGTATCACTAGCCCCAAGTTCCAGAACAGTACTGAGGCTCAGAGAGGTGAACTGATTTGCCCTATATCAAACAGGTTACAGGGGCCTCAGAGGATTCCATGCCAAGACTTAACTCTGATAGGAATGCATGATAGGCAGTTATGACATGTGATTCTCACTGAGGTCCTGAATTCATTCTGCAAGCAACAACTACTATATGCCAGGCTCAGGCTGGGTACCAGTGATACAGGAAGGAGGAAGGCCTGATGCCTGAGAACAGCACGTGGTGCAGGGAGGGCAGAGAAAATCATGCTGGGAAGACAAGCTGCAATGCACCAGGATACACAGGGAAGCCCTGCACGCTGCTAGGTGCCCTGCCCAATGGGCCCTTTTCTGGGAACAGCCAAGGTGACCCTTAAAAGCCATGAGTGTCCAGGGAATTTCTAGCAACAGCTGACTGGTCTGAAGGGCAGACCCTTATTCTGAGTTGAGCCTCTCAAATTCTCATTTCTGAGAATTTGAAGCTCAGCTAGAGAAAGGGGAACAGAAACTGAGTAGCCAGGGCTGAAGCATGGCACTGTCCTTGAGGTTGTCCTGGGTCCGGCCAGCTCAGATGCCTAGTGTCCTATCTGTCCCCGAGCTATTCAAAGGGTGGATATTCAGCCAGTGTGCAATGGCAGGAATGTGTCAGCTGTTAACACATAGAAACCCTGCTGTGTCTGATGGAGCAAAGCCACTTCCCCGAGTCGCCCTCCTCGCACCCCACCTTGCGCCCTCCCGCCACCTTGGATGCTCCAGCCCATCCCCATGATCCAGAATCTAAAAGGTTAATACCCCGCACAGCATATGACCCCCACCTTTGCCCCAGTCCTAAGACCAGTTAAGGTCTGGTCATTAAATATTTTTGTTCTGAGACCTTCCCTCTTTATCTCCCCTTCAGTTTGAAGTGAGGTAGTGGCGGTGCCCGATACAAGCAGAGGATCCATCCTCATTCACCGGGAGAGGTTTCCTAGAGGAGGCAGAATCTCTGGTGGCCTGAAAGGAGCTGTGGGAGTGGGCCAAGCAGGCATGGGGGGAAAGCAAGCCAAACGGTGCAAAGGCCTGAAGGGGTAAGGGGCCGATAAGAAGTGGATACGGCAAGAGCAGAGGATCCCAGCAGGAAGGCTAGAGACTGGAGTAAGAAAGCTGTAGGGCGCTCTGACGCAGGCTGGACTCCGCCTCGTGTGTTTTCCAACCCGCGGGACACTAGGATATGCATCCACGCTTGCTAAACATAGAAAAGAAGACACAAACACCCAGATTGCAAGTATCGTGACCTTCAGCCAGAAATGAAAAAAAGGTATGAAAGCCTACAGTCACATAGTATTTCAGGATGTTTTTTATATAAAATGGTTCACTTAATCTTCTCCATCATGCTGGACAATGAATGAGAAGGCTTGAGGCAGAGTTCACCTGAAACTCCCAGGTTCACACTGCAGTCCACTTTGAAAGAACAGATCCGGCTGCAGGGAGGCAATCCGTGGTTCCTGCCCAGGGCAGGCTGGCACCCAGAAGCATTCCATCAAAATAACGTCTTCCCCGTCTTCTCTCCTCATTCAGCAAATTCTGCTCAGAATGGTATGTGTCCCTAGACGCATTTGCTGAGGCCTGGCCCATCATTTTATTGCTAACCGTCCCTCTAATTTTAGAGCCATGCCATTTCCACATGCACCATTTCTCCTCTCTTTTCAATGATTTTTGTCACCCTAAGGGCTCTCAACCAAGAGCAGTCTGTCTCCATTCCTGTATTTATCTGAAGTACTAGTTTACATTTCTATGGCTCTGCAAATGATTGTGTGCATTTCCCTCTACCATCTCACTTATTCTTCACCCCAACCCTGCATGGTTAGCATCGTCATCCCATTTTAGAGATAGAAGGCTGAGGCTCAGAGATACTAAGGGACTTAGTATACTGCTGCCCTGAGTGGAACAGCCAAGCCAGGGTCTGAGGACTCCTAAGCCAGTGCTCACTCACACCATATCCCAGCTGTTTCTCAAACTTTAGAACAGCAGCGTGGGAGAGTGGGCCTCAGACTGGCCAGCACTTTAGCTGCTGTGTGGCCTCATACAGGTGTCCTCATCTCTCTGGGCCTCTGTCTTCTCAACTGTGGAACGGCATCAACACGGCAGGATTGATCTGAAGATCAGACTCCTGGCTAACAGTACTCACTCCATCCTGTCATCCTCCAGTCAGCGTTTTGATTCGGACAGAGAGAACAGATTCTTGAAAAGGACTTTTAAAAAAAGTGCAATTTACCTGTTAGCCACCAGAGTGCAGTCAATTTCTGGTCGCTTTGTTTTGGGAATGACATACAGTGGGTACCTGTCCCCGTGTCGAATGAACACATGCACTGAGACCAGCTTAAAATGATGCGGAGCGTGACCTGCATGAGAGAAAGGCACACGGTCTCATTATCACTCAGGAAGTGGGGAGGGATAACCATGGTGGAAGGGTGCTGTGCTGGGTGTGTGTGTTCGGGAGGGGTGCTCTGAATAGCCTCACAAGGCAGGGCAGAGGCATACGAGAAGGCTGGTTATGACCCAGACCCCTACAAGACACAGGGAGGCTCTGGGATGCGGCTGGGGCCTGAAGGCCAGTGAAATGTGAGCAAGACTCTTCCTGTGGCCTTACTCACACCCGCAGACTAGAGGGAAGCCCACAGAAACAGCAGACACGCTGACTTCTGCTTTAAATCTCTCATGAAACAAGGCAGGGCACAAACAGATAAATATTTGACATCTTTTTTGAGATACTTTCAAAAAAGTGAAACTCTATGTAAAAATCTTATTTCCCCACGTTTTCTGTAAGATGCCAGCAGGGCATCCTGTGGACATCCTAAGCGTTGAGAGCAACTACCTGAAAAAGTGGGCAGCTGGGGATGATGTCCTAAAGATGAGGAAGCTAAGACCTGAGGACCCATTCAAGGGTGCGGCCTAGTGGCGGCTGCAGAATTTGTGCCCAGGCCATCGAGCTCCATACCACCGTGCTGGGCTGCTTGAAGAACCAGTCCCCAGAGGGATGGCCACCCAGTTACCAAGCTGTGCAGCGCAGGCAGGCCTACCTTCCAGGCTGCGCTCTGCCACGCTGGGAATGTTGCAGTATAAGAGAGCTTCGTAGAGCGGGTCCATCCCGGGGGGCTCCGTCACGGGGTCAGGCATGATTCTCTTTCGACTCTTGCTACTCACGCCATTCTTTGCCGTTGACACTGGGATCAGGTGGACTGCAAGGAAAGCCAAGCAGGTCATGACACACGCAGACGCAGGGGGCCCAGGGCCAGCTGGAGGGCGCCAGAGTGTGGTTGGATTTTCACCTGGAGTGACTAACTGTTCTCCCTCTCAGCATGAGGGCGGACTTCGATGTAGCAAGAAGTCAACTTCCCATTCAAGAATGGTTTCTTGAGCCCCACCCTGTGCCTTGCCTCTCTCTTGATTCCATGATCTTCTCTTCACTAATAATTGTGCAACACCGGGGGCGGGGGGCGCCCCACAGAAAGGGACCTCGCGGTGGTAAAGGAAGAACTCGCACACTAGCTTTGTGCTGATTACCTCCTTCCTAACACCCTTAGAATTCTAGTAAATTCTAAGGAGGAAAGCCACCACCTTTTGAGTACCTACGAAGAGCTAGACATAGGTGTCTGACACATCTCATTTAGTACCATCTGCTATTATTCTGAATAAATTCTTCTAAGTGAATAATTAAAACTTCCCTTTGGCAAATGAATGTTATACACCAGGTAAAAGATAAGGAAGGCATCACTGAAAGGGAAATATTTGCAACATACATAACAGATTATTAATGTTCAGAGTGCATACGAGCTCCTAACACCGAAAAATCAGTAAAGGATCTTAGCAGGCTAATTACAGGAAAATAAGTACAAATGACAATAAACATATGAAAAGATGTTCAACATTATTCATACTTAAAGAAATGCAAAATAAAATAACAATAGGGTATTTAAGCCCCTTCCTCGGTAGAAAATCACGTATTAATGATGACATCAGTATTGGCAAGGGTGTGAAACCTACACTGCCATACACTGCAGGTGAAGGTGGCAACTGGAACAACCTTTGGAAGGAGTATTCGGCTGTAGCCACCAAAATGTTATTTGTGCTTATTCCTGATCCCATAGTTCTACATCTTGGAATCTACTCCACAAAGATGGGAATTCTCATCAGGAAGATTCACTGTGGTGCTGTTTATAGTAGCAAAAAAGAGGAAATAACCTAAACATCTCTCATTGGCAGAACAGAAAGTTACATGACAGTGTGGAATATTCTGCGGCAGGGAAAAAGAATGGAAAAGAATCAAAGATAAACGAAGTGAATAAACCAAGTCAGGGGATATTTATATAATCCTCTTTGTGTAAAGAAAAAACAAACTATAAATGCATGAATACACAGGCATTTGTTTATGTAAATGCACAGAAAAATGTCTACAAGGACAACCATCACAATGCAGCTGTGGTTTCCTCTGGGGAATGAGTGAAATGGCGTGTAAAGTATTTTCACTTGTTTTTCTATAACTATGCTGTTTTCTATATCCACACATACATATGATATATATTTATACTAATATATATATATACACATATAATATATATACATATATTCTATATGTATAGAGATAGATGTATGTTTCTATAATGTCTAGATATCTTTTCTATAAGCATATTTTCATTCATTACTTGTGTTACCCGTGTTAAGACAACAATCACAGAGCTTCAAAGCTGGCCCTTCACCAAGTCAAAATTAGCCCTTTGGTTGGTCCTAGAGCCGCTGTCTTCCCAGCACCGGGACAGGGCCAGAATTGCTAACGCACAGCTCAGGTGTCCGGAGGTAATTTACTGTGGGGGATTTGTGCCAGAGCAAGGAAATGAGGGAAGGTGGATGTCCTAAAGCAGTGCCTTAATGATGCAGCCCTTCTGGCTGTGTGGCACCCATCAGTCCTTGACTCTGCTCTTTTATGACATGATAGCAGATTCTGGACCCTGGGCTATGTCTGAGCACTTCCTTTGAGTCGAGGTGTGAAGCTAAGGAGACATGATGATACGGGTGACACGAGGGTGGAGGGGCATGAGTCCCTGGGCATCAGAGCGTCCCCACAGTTTGCTGGTTTATCTTTAAGCACACAGGGTAAGACTAATTGGGGCTACCACCTGGAAACGGCTATAGATTGAATGTTTAGATCTTCCCTCAAATTCACATGTTGAAGTCCTAACTCCCAGTGGGATGGTATTAGGAGGTGGGGCCTTTGGGAGGTGACTAGGTCATGAGGGTGGCACCTTCATGAATGGGATTAGTGCCTTTATAAAAGAGGCTTTAGAGAGCTCTTATGCCATGTGAGGTTATAGTGAAAAGATGCTTTCTAGGAAGTGGGTTCTCACCTGACACCAAAATCTACTGGTGCTTTGATCTTAGACTTCCTGGCCTCCAGAAGTGAGAGAAATAAATTTCTGTTGTTTATACATCACCCAGTCTATGGTATTTTGCTAAGCAGCTCAATAGACTAAGACAGGAACCATGGTAGTTGGGTCCAAATGACACCCCCATGACCCAAGGAAGCAGGGTTTGAAAGCCACAGGTAAAGACTGGGTGATATTCAGAGACTTTCCATCCAGAAAGATTTTATCTGTTGCTTCCTCTGGCATCTGGGCCTGTCAATCTCACCTACTAGCTGCTGAGACTGCCCTGTGCTGTTTGCACCTTCCTGAGTCCCCAAGACACAGTGTCTGGTCATGTGAAGCCTTTCGAGACATTCAGGGAATGTTCTGATGCATAGAAGCTGTGGGGTAAGATGTCTCTCCAGCTCCATCTCTCTGCTTCACCTCACCTAACTTGGTTCTCACTGTCCTGAGCTGCTCAGAGCCACCCCTACTCCCACAAACTATTTCTCACCCATGCTCCTCTCCTTGCTTGCAACTCTACCTTCACCCTACCTCTGTTTCCTGTATCTGGCCAATTCCATAAGTGATCCCAAGGAACCCCTCCTCCAGGAAGCCCACCCCAAATCCCCAAGGAGTTTGGATATTCCTCTTCTTTGGGCCCATCCAGTTCTTGCTGCTGTCCTGCCTCACATCACCGTACATGTGAGCAAGGCTGTCCACAATTTTGCCAACCCACCACCCCAGATATCCAGGGAACTAGGGATATGTCTCCATATTTATAATTCCTCCGCCAACCAGCACAATCAGACCCTCCATAAATGTTTGTTGAACTGAAGGTGGGCTCTGAGCCAGGCACTGTGCTCCATGCTTTTGGTAAAATACCTGCTTGAATTCTCATGTGGGAGCACTGAGGGAGAGGGGTTACCTGACCAGCCTGGGGGTGGGGATCATCCAAGCAGCTTCCTTGGGAAGACACCTAAGGCGGGTCCGAAAAGCTAAAATGAAGCTTGCTACATGGGGAAGAGGAGAAGAGGACTATGTAGCATGAGCAAACACAGCAGACGAGAGGCAGCGAGCTGGTTCAAGATCCCCTTGGGGGCTTGGTCCCATTGGCCCCTCCAGGGCTGACATGCAGGAAGGAGCCCAAAGGAGCAGACCTCTGCTGGAGGCTGCCTCTGCCCTGCCTGCTGCTCTCCTGGGCTTGCCTTGTTCACCAGGACAAAGGGGGCTCAGGGGGCAGACTCAGGGGCTGCGGCCTGGGGCTCCAGAAAACTGCCTCTCCTGGCAGGCCTTGCCCAGGTCCTCGGCCCCTGACTTCCCCTGTGGGACTATGAGAAACTGCGATTGATCCCAAGCAGATGACAGCAGCTCAGATGTCATCAAGCAAGGAAAAAGGGATTGTGGGGACATCGGATTGATTTGGCAGGCAAACAGATGGAAGAATAATGACTTTCATTGTGCAGGTATAAAAAAAATCACATGAATCTAGATGAGGCCTTGGGGCCACTGTACCACCAAGGCCAACATGAATAACAGAAGACATCTTTATTGATAATTAACTCGGTACCAGTGGGTATGCCATTTCTCTTTGGTGTGATTTCCAAGAAGACTTCCATGAGCCACATGTGCATATGAGTCTCTCTCATTTACAGCTGCTTTATCTGCTCATCTCAGCTACCATCACTCTAATCCTGTCAGCGCCTCTTCGACCTTCTTGTATAGATGCCAAAGGGGGTCTCAGTGTCAAATAAATGAGAGAATGTTACCTGTAAAGTAGCACCTTGGGCCCCCTCACTCATAAAAACAACTAGTACACTTCTTAAAATCATGAGTAAAACAGTCAGGTGCTGTTCCCCATAGGCCGCCCCCTCCCCTCTCTACCCACTCCCACCCTCCCCAGTGCACAGGATGAATCCATGTGCATTATTAGCAAACATTCCCGTAGCTCTGACTAGGATACAAGCCGAACTGGCCCACATTGCTTTTGGCAGCTTTGGACCTCATCCTGGGAAAAGCTACCATCAGCCAGGCAGTGGACGTCAGGCAGAGGCAGGTCAAAGGACTGGCTTGGGGTCCTGCTGCCTGGAAGTCCAGGCCTGCTAACGTCCTGAGCCTGGTATTGATGCACCTTCCACCTAGCCAGCCAACACTTACTGAACATCTACTGGGGATTCTTCAGAGAATAAAAGAATAAGGTCTCTGCCCTCCTGAGTCTTACAATCCAGCTGGGGAGGGTGGTAAGGTATTAGATAAGAAAAGGGGAGCAGGAAGCATATGGCCCTACAGGGAAAGGGCCTGCTCAGTCATGGTGCCTCTGTACACCCTGGTTGCTGGTTTAGAGGCACAGGTGCAGGGATGGTGCAGTGAAGACGAGGATATAAAGATACTGGGAAGTCACTATGAGAGAATAGTCAGTAATAGCCTCGGACAAAACCTGACCTCTCAACAAGCTTTGGCTTAGGAGCCAGCACTATGAACATGTCTGGAGGAACATGTTTCATCTAATGATGATTTGCTTCTTTTAATTTTTGTTTATTCTATTGATGGTCCTCATAGAACAGAGGAAAAGAGAGAAAGGGCCCAGGGTCTGGGTCAGATCATAACTTTTCAGCACAGGCCCCAGGGCCACAAACCCCTAGCTGGCTTTGGGCCTCAGGCCACCTTAGTTACTTCCCCAAACTTAGTGATCCACAGTGTCAGTAGGTTACGTTACAGTCATGTGTCTGCAGCCAGCTCATTAGCTGGGAGTCATTCAGACTTGCACAAAGACAGGCCAGCACCTTTTCCCCAGGGTACCAAGCCGATGCCCGTGGTCTCTAGCTCATCTCCCCATACCG